CATGCCTATGTGTCGTTAGGAAGATCGCTCTGGTCTTCTTTGCCTGCATTAGAAAAGTTTCAGCTCGTCTCCTGCTCCTGCTCTTGCTCCTGCTCCCTCACCTCCTTGATGCAGCTCCATAGCGTTCGTCGGGAGGCAGGGTCAAGGCCAGTAGACGGCTCATCCAGGTCTGCAAGGAAGAGGAGTGAGGAAGAAGGAGGAAGGAGGAAGGAGGAAGGAGGGAGGAGGGAGGAGGGAGGAGGAGGAGGAGGAGGAGGAGGAGGAGGAGGAGGAGGAGGAGGTCAACTGAAGGAGTGAAGGCTCGTAGGCTCACAGCATATCAGAGGGTTTCCGATCATCGAGATGGCGACTGACAGGCGCCTCTTCATCCCTCCCGAGAAAGTCCCTGCCTTCTCGTCGATGACGTGAAGCAGGTTCACCTGACACGTGACAGTGAGGAGAGGGAGAGGGAGAGGGAGAGGGAGAGGGAGAGGGAGAGCAAGGGTGACAAGGACAAGTAGAAGGAGAATGTAGCATGTAAAAGAGGAGGATTAGAAGGAAAGAGAGGGAGGAAGGCGGAGGGCGAGAGAGGGAAAGGAGGAGGTCTGGCGGGTAGAGAGGAGAAGGATGATGATGTTTCATGTCTCACTTGCTGCAGCCCATAGGTGATAGCATGCTTCAAGTCGTCTCCCCTGCTCAGCGTGAGACCTCTGCTTCACCTCCTCTGAATCTCCTCCCACCTCAAGTTCTTGAGTCGACCGTAGAAGGTCATGTGCTCTCGAGCTGTTAGCGTCTCCCATAGGATGTCGTGCTGGACGAGGAGGAGCAAGAGGGGCAAGGAAGAGGTGGAGGAGGAAGAGGTGGTGGAGGAAGTGGAGGAGGAGCAAGGAGGAGGAGGAGGAGGAGGAGGAGGAAGAGGTGGTGGAGGAGGACCAAGGAGGAGGAGGAGGAGGAGAAGGAGGAGGAGGAGGGAGGAAGATGTCAGCCCACAGATCAAGGAGTGAAGCAGAGTTTGAGCTCGTACCTGAGGGCAGACTCCCATGAGGGAGTAGATTCGATTCATCTCTGAGATGATCGAGAACACTTCGACGGTCGCGTGACCTCCGCTCGGCCGAGTGAACCCGATGAGCATGTTGCTGCGCTAGATCAGCATGTTCACTCTATCTCGCCCCCTCCTCTCCTTCCCTGCCATTCCCACTTGTCCTCCTCCCCTCCACTCTTGTCCTCCTCCCCTCCACTCTTGTCCTCCTTTCATTCTCCTTCTCCATTCTTTCACCTTTCCTCGCTTCTCTTCCTCATCATTCCGTTCCTCAATCCCGTTCCCTTTCTTCCTCTTCCTCCCTTTCCTCGTTCTCCTCCCCTCTCCTCTTCTCCTCTCCTCTCTCCCTTCTTCGCTCTCCGCCTCTTCCCCCTTCCCTTCCTCCTCTCCTCATCCTTACATGGTGGTCGTCTTGCCCGCTCCGTTGGGTCCGAGCATCCCGAAACATTCCCCGTGTTGGACCCCCATCGTCAGAGACTTCACTGCGACCTGCCGGGGCGCTCAGAGCATGCTCCAGCTGGGATCAAGCTGAGGGTCAGCTGACCTTGGGGGAGCCCCCGAGGTAGCCAGGGTAGATCTTCTTGAGCTGGTGGATCATGACGGCGTCGTGCTGCTCACATGTAAGGGGCAGCTGGAAAAGAGCCGGCGTTACCTCGGACTTGTCCGCCGACTCTAACTTGTTAATCCGCGCCTCCTCCTCCTGCACATCGGGAAACTCCTGCCAAGAAGGGGTCAACGTTGGGAAGAGGAGGAGCTAGGAGCTAGCAAGAGGAGGAGCTAGGAGCTAAGAGGAGGAGGAGGAGGAGGAGGAGGAGGATAGGGCAGGGGTTATACCGATATGTCCTGCTCGTGCTCAATGTCGGCCAGCATCTGCTCCTGTGATCACAAACCCGTCAGGCTCAGCTGACACCCAGCAGCCTCGCTCGCCTCTCGATGCTTGTAGCCCAGGAAGAACAAGGGGTGCTTGGGAACCCCGTGACCAGAGTCCAAAACCTGACACGTGAGTCACCAGCTCGCTGCTGCTCCTGCTCCTGCTCCTGCTCCTGCTCCTGCTCCTGCTCCTGCTCCTGCTCCTGCTCCTGCTCCTGCTCCTGCTCCTGCTCCTGCTCCTGCTCCTGCTCCTGCTCCTGCTCTTGCTCCTGTTACCCCCGTTCTTGTCGTTCTCGTTCGCTTCCCTGTACCCGCCCCTCGCACTCTCGCCCTGCCTCTTCCTCCACCTGCTCCTTCTTAACTTGCCTGATCCAGGTAGATCGTGATGAGCATGAAGACGACCCACTCTACCGCCAGGATCGCAAGCACAGCAGGCATCCCGCACCTGTCAGCCCGTCAGTCTCGTCAGCCCGTCAGCCCGGTAGCTACCGTGGGTCCGTCGCCATCTTGCTCCACGTCAGCCCCTGCCCGCCCGAGCGAGCGGCCACGTAGGCGTACTGGTAGTACTCGTTGAAGCCTCGGTAGAGGCTCCAGAGGGGGAAGAGGGTGATGAAGTTGACCAGGTCCTTGGAGACGCTCGTGGAGTTGAAGAAGTTGCCGACGCCCCAGCAGAGCCAGGCGATGAGGGAGAAGCCCAGGACGTAGAGGGTCGCGGCGATGGAGGAGGTGCGAGCCGAGCGAAGGAGCGTCGTCCAGAGGAAGGCGAAGGCGATGGTGTTGTTGAAGAAGAGCAGGAAGAAGACGAAGTGGACGCTCGGCTCCTGCTTGGTGAAGAGGCCGATGGTGTAGCCTGACGGGAGCCGAGCGAGCGAGGCAACTAGGAGGAGCATGAAGATGAAGAGAGCGTAGATGATAAACCAGAAGATGTAGTTGATGAACCAGTAGGGCGCGTTCCCCAACCCATCATCCTCATGATTACCTGCAGACATCATCCTGTCAGACCTAAGGAGAGAAGAGGGGAGGAAGGAACAAGTGGGGAGGCGAGGGAGAAGGAGGGGACGGCAAGAGTTGGGATGAGAGGAGGGAGGGGAAGGGAGGGGGAGGAAGCAAGGAGAGGGGAGGGGAGATAAAATCTCACCCGCAGCTTCATCTCCTTCTCGTACACGATCGACACGATGATGGTCGGGAACAGCAACGAGAACGCGAGGGTGAAGAAGAAGGGACCCAGCGAGGACGCGAGGTCAAGGTTCAGCTTCCATGCCGGCTGCGGCATCTCTTTGATCCCCAGCGCACTCAGCGCGTACTTGTACCCGCTGCCTCCGAGCTTGACATTGACAAACGCGTCAAACACGTTACTGATCGGCGCCATGATGCGCAAGGCGCTCTTGGGTTGACCCGTGGGAGACGCCCACTGTGTGGTATCGTTGTACATGACCGACACGTTCAAGTTCGAGCCGTCGGTGTTGAGGAAGTCGAATGCGTTGACGTACTGCTCGCCCATGGAGCCGTTGGAGCCGTACTTGTCGTAGTAGCCCCTGTACAGCATCTGGTCGATGGCTGCCTTGGAGTCCACCCATGTTGGCTTCGAGTCGATGCATTGCAGGTATATGCCTTGCAGCGCTGCCGTGCGATTGATGTAGCACATCTCATGACTCTGCGATGCTGTCGAGCCACAAGACTGGGTGAGGAGGCTGAAGAAGCCATGGCCGTTCTTGCCCCAGTTCTTCCAATAGGGAGTGTCGCGGGAGTTCAAGATATCCCAGTAGTTGCTCTGGGGGTTGAGGGCCTGCTCATTGAAGAACGTGCTGCCCGCCCAGATGGAGGTAGAGAATCGCATCTCCGGGATGTTGAAGAAGCCCTGCAGGTTGCTGTTGGAGCACTGGTAAGCTCCGTCCTTGGCTGCGCAGTTGTACGTCTTGGGAACCTCCATCTCTATCCCTGCCAAGTTTCGATCCGCAAAGAAGGAGAAGTTCTGCATTGCGGTCTGAGCAAGGAACAGCCATTTGCAGGTGCAGGGGGAGGTGGTCAGCAAGCTGAAAGAGACAGTTACAGGTGTAACGTGCTAAGAAGTCAATCTCACGTGACCACCGCCGACAGGTTCTTGAACTGATCCAGCTTGCAATCCTTGGTCAGGTTACTGCGATCCTTGTCAAAACCCTCGAGGTCACGTCAAGACGTTGTCAAACCTTGTCATCGCTGACAACTTGGGGTAGATGGTTCGGTCTGAGCTTGCGGTGGCAGCCAGCGAGACAGCCTCTTGCATCTTCACGCAAGGGTTGCTCTGCATCTCAGCCTGCAGGCTCGAGGAGTACGTTGGCTCTACGCACTCGAAGCGAGGAGTGATCTTGCTGGCGACATACGTCTGGAAGTATTCCGGGTACGTCATTTGGGTGCCTTGAAGGAGCGGCTGTAGGGACGCCCCGAGCATGCTGTAAAGTAGCCCGTACAGGCTAGCCATGCCCTTCCCGGAGGCGAATTTGACGCCTTGGGAGGTGTTGGCGTGGAGAGAGGTCTCGTTGGCGAGCGAGAAGTCAGCACAGCAGGGCTCGCTCGTCCCCTCCCCGGCTTGTATCACCCCACACATCTGCGACTTGAAGGTCTGGTCCACCCCCCCCAACCCCCCGCAGCCCAACATGGGGGTCAGCAGGAGCGTGTAGAGCGTCTGCGTCTTGACCTTGGCGGTGGCCTTGAGCTTGTCCGAGAAGTCGTCGAGGGACGAGATGACCTTGTCGGCAACAGAGGAGGCGAACGCGTTGGTTCTGTCATTCTGAGTGTACAAGACTGGAGTCTTGGAGCGGTAGTACTTGGGGGTGTTGTACGCGAGGTTCGGTTGCTTGATCCCGAAGGTGATGGGACAGAAGGCGAACTGGCTCGCCGTAGCCAACTGAGGCTGAAAGCAAGCGTCGTTGCCATTCCCTCCACAAGTCTCACTGACTTTCTTGCACTGCAAGTTGTACTGATATGTCAAATCCTGCATCGAAAACAAAATGTCAAACGAAACATCATTGACCCTACTGTCAACTTGCCTGTGTTTTCCCCACAGGAAAGAAATAATCCGCACACGAAGATGCTCCATTACCTGCCAGTCAACTCTGTCAACCCGCAACCCTCGTCAACCAAGGCACCCACAGTATGACTTGGCGAAGGTGTCGTTAGCAGGGCCACAGTAGGGGCACCTGACCGTTGGCTGGCCGAGGAAGAGGATCTCGAGCAAGAACTGCAGCATGAGAATGATGATGATGAAGAAGATTGGGATGAGGACAAGGCAGCAGTTGGTCAGCCACTTCCTCGACTGCAGGGAGAGGTTCTTGGAGAAGGAGGCGCCGGCCTGCTGACCGAAGGAGGTGTGAAGCTTCGTGACCCGCTCCTGCACCTCTTCCTCCGATATCTTGATCATGGTGCTGTCTGAGAATAGCGACGCGTTGGTATTCTTGGGCTCCACGTAGGCAGTAGCGTTGAAGGTCGTGCCAGGAGGAGCGTTCTCAGGCACAGTGACGTTGAACGTCTGCCCCTCCACCTCCACCTGCACCAGCTCGCCAGCCCCAACCCCTTCCGGCACAGTCACCACGATCGACTTCTGCGTCACGTTTGACTCCTTCGTGTCTACCACGATCAGGTTCCCGTTCTCGTCTGCCCCCCACTTCACAGTGAACTTGACGCCATTGGGAGACACCAGCTCCTCCTCGTTTCCTAGCAAGACTCCAACTACCTCTCCATTCCTCAGAGTCACGTTCACGGTCTTGTTCAGCAACATTGCCTCCTCTTTCTCGCTCTGCTTCGCGATGTTCAGGAACACGTCCTCGAGGGTAGACATGCTCAGCTGCACGTCCACGATCGACAGCTCCTGCTTCTTGCCCTCCAGCAGCTCGAAGAAGCTCTGCAAGGCCGAGCTGTCTGCCGTCGGGACGTTGAAGTGCAGGTAAGTTTTGGACTCCTCCGACACTTCTACCCGTAGCGACTCTCTGAACATCTCCTTCACCCTCAGGCTCTGTGGAGAGTTCGGCGTCATCTTGTCCCCGCAGCTGACGCTGATCCGGTACCCTCCTCCGAAGCGAGACTTGAGTCGCACGCTGCTCCCGATGCACCTGCCTCAGCCCTCAGGCTACGCCAGCACACGCTTCCTCTCTCACCTCAGTCGACCCTTGGCCATGATGCCGATGCGATCGCCGAGGATGTCCGCCTCCTCCATGCTGTGCGTGGTGAGGACGACGCACCTGTCCTGCTTGGCCGCCTCGATCACGTCCCAGACGTGACGTCGGTTGATGGGGTCCATGCCGGTCGTCGGCTCGTCCAGGTAGACGACGCTGGGGTTGCCGATGAGGGAGACGGCGACGGACAGGCGTCGCTTCATCCCTCCTGAGAACGACCCGGCGATCTGATTGGCGGCGTCGTTGAGCCGAACCTCCTCGATCCGCTTGTCGGCCTCGTGGTACACGGAGTCCGGCTTGATCCCCTTGATGATCGCGAAGATGGCGAGGTGCTCCCGAGCCGTCAGCCTCTCCCACAAGATGTCAAACTGCGGGCAGACGCCGATGACGCGCTTGACTCGGTTCATGCCGCTGGGATGGGCGACTGTGTTTCCAAACACCAGGGCGTTTCCAGCCGTCGGGGGGAGGAAGCCAGTGAGCATGTTGATAGTCGTAGTCTTCCCAGCTCCGTTGGGCCCCAGCAGGGCGAAGAGCTGGTTCTTCTTCACAACGTACCAGGGGGCTTTGACGGCATGGAACGGCTTTCCTCCTCGCTTGAAGGTCTGTGTGAGGCCTCGGATCTCGATGGCGTTTGCTCCGTCCATGTCCTGGTTGGCTCTGGTCTTGGCTGTAGACTCTTCCGACAGCACGTCCTCGTCCTTGCTCGCCTCGATCACCGCATCCGGATCGTCTGTGATGTGAGCGGTTGATAGACCCCAGTAGGCTGGGGTGAAGAGGTACCAGGGCGCTTTCTTGACGCCCATGGCGTCAGGGAGAACGTTCTCGAGGTAGAGGCCGATGAGCGAGTAGACGAAGTACATGCCGATGTACCAGCTCCAAGAGTTGCCGACGGAGTAGGGAGGGTTGCAGAGGTCTGGGTTAATGGTGCAGTAGGAGTAGGCCTCGCTGAACCGGATCCCGTTGTTCTTGTCCGTTGCCGTGAGGGCCCCGAGGTCGGCAATGTTCTTGCTGAGCAGGTTGGGAGGGAGCAAGGAGAACAAGGGCTCCGCGGCTCTGTCACCCTTTGAGTCCTTGAGCACGTACTGCTTCGTGGTGATGTCGTACTGGTAGGAGAAGGGAGCTGTCTTCTTGTACGCGCCGTAGGGGAATCCGAAGGTGATAACGAAGAAGAAGATGAAAGCTATCAAGAACAGAGCAAAGCCAACAGTCACTGCTTGCTCGGCCCTACGAAGAAAGGCTCCAAGCATGAATGCCAGTCCAATCATGGATTGCTCAAACAGCCAAAAGGTGAGGAAAAGTACACCGAAATCATTCTTCTTGAAGATGTCGAATTGAAACATCAGCCCGAACAAGGTCAGCAGCAGCGAGTAAATGAACGCCATACTTGACTGTACCGTACAAGGTCATCCAAGGCATCGAGAAAGCAATCGCTCACCTGATAGATATGCCAAGAAAGCCAGTAGGCGACTTCAGTGAGACCCATAGAGGACAGGACCTGTCGCAGCTTCTGCTCTTTCTCAAGCACGATCTCGTTCATCTGTATCACAAAGGGGAACATGGCACACCCCAGCAGGAACAAGGGTGCTATCTGCCCTACAAACGAGGAGACCTGGAAGGCTGGATGCGCAAACTCCTCGATAGCAACGTCGATCTTGAAGTTTGGGTCCTTGAGAAAAACTTGACGTGCGATCTCCTTCTGCGCCTGCACTTGCATGGGCACGGCGAAATTGAGGAATGGACGGGTCCATGTGCCCCTGATCTGATCAGCAGCTGTCCCGTTCTCTTGGACAAGCTGATCATAAGGCGTTCAGAGATAGTTTGTGCAAACAGCAGAGATTACAAAGGTCAACGTGTTGTTGTCCGGAGATTCAAATACGTAAGCACCCTGGTAGAAGTCCAACTTAGCCTTCAAGTTCCTGTTGGCAGAGGAGAGTCTTTCTCAAACAATGTTCGTTACATTATGTCACAACAAGATCACCTGTCCAGCGAGGTCTCACTAACAAATCCTGTCGCCTGACCAAAAGGTCACATGCCGGGGCTGAGTTTAGGTGGAGCGAACCGGAACGATGTTGGTGCCGTTGGAAGTCGAGTAATCGATCCCGTTCTTGATCAGAGCTCGCACAACTTTATGTACTCTGAAAAGCTCGCAAGGCTGCAAGCAACCCTGAGGCTAAAGTGACCAGCATCAGTAAACGCGACCAAGCATGACAGCAATCACCGCCGACAAGTCGCATACTGTCGCAGTGCACGTCCCACCGCTGCAGTCGAGAGGTCAGGAACGATGTAATGACTCGCATGTACCTCCAAGAAACTCCCGAAATGAAGTCCTGCAGGCTGGAATAGTCCTTATCCGGGAAGTAGTTGTCTTTGGGAGCGGGGGAGTACCCAAAGGTAACGCATCCTTTCTCAGAAGCCTTTGGAACGCATGATGGAATTTTGCTAACTGTCTGTCTTGTCGGGTGCGGAATATCCTTCACGTATGTCTCAGAGCCGAACCGTGCCAACAACCCTTCATTGCATAAGAAGATGAGCAGCACGAAGAAAAACGAAGCAAAGATTCTGAGGAACGTTGAAGTGTAATTCCGTTTGGCTAGGATGAAGTTCTTGAGCAGCAATGCACACGTCTGCCTGTAAATCGTGACAGGATACGACTGATTTGCATCCATGACGTCTGTGAGATGCATTTCAGTCAGTTTCATTACCACGTCTCTGAAGCCCACGGCATACCTGGTAATTCCAAATCTGCTACGTTCCCCTGCCTGCCTGCTTGGACAAGACTGTCCTCATGCCCTATCTCGCCCAGCTGTTGTTCTTGTCTAGCTATTTCTTGATCTCCCATGTTGTTAAGGTTTCGATCAACTCCACATACACAAGGATCGCTGATACAACCCTATGAGAGTCTGAAAATCAACAGCAAACGTCAGTTCCAATCCCAAGCCTCTGCCGTGATGATCGGTCGTCCTCTCCTCAACCTCTATGTAATCCCCTCATTTTCATATGATTTCAGTCTGTAATGCAAATGCACGACTCCGCTTGAAACCGTCCCTTCCCCTCGACCACTCTCCGGCTGTATCTCCTTCGCCAGATTCTTCTTGTCCTTCTTTGACCTGTCTTCTCCGACTTACTCTGCATCACTATATCTTCATGATCTCTCTCCCCTTTCAACGATCATTCATCTTCCCTCGCTCCTCGCTCCTCGCTCCTCCCTCCCTCCCTCTTTCTCGCTCCCTCCCTTCCCTCCCACTCTGCCCTGGGTTTGAGCATTTCCAGGCATTTCACCTACACCTTCGGCTACCCCACCTACCCCTATTTTCTATATACTTAGTACCCCCTCCCACCCTTCGAATGCTACACCACCCTAGTAATTTACTACTTGATCACCCCTCCCTTCAACCCTCTTCATTTCCGAATGCACCCCACCCCTCTATGTCTGAATTTCTGTCACACCCACCCGTTCGATCACTGACTTTTTCAACTCAGAAGCACCGGTTCATTCACACTTTCACTCCATTCTTTCACCCTACCCTACCCAACCCTTTCACAGGACCACCCCACCTTCAAGGAACCCCGCTCATCCCCTGCTATGATTACAATCCAGCTTATGGTCACACCCCCACTTCCCTGACTACCCCCCATAATCCTCGGTTGACCAATGACCACCCTATCTTTACACTCCATGGACCCTAGGTGTGTGGGGTGAGGAATTCAGAATGAATACCCCTACCCACCATCACGTCCCCTCCGGTCCACCGTCCAGCATGTCACTGAGAGATGCGATTAGTGAGGGGTGGTTTTTTTGAAAATTCGAACTCCATCTATGTAATGGAGGGGTAGGTGTTACGATGAGGGTAGGGGTGGGAATGGGACATGAAAGGGACCACTTGGGACCATTCCGATGACTGATAAGGTGGCTAGACGAGGGGGTGGGGTAGAGGGACGTGATGAATCTCGGAAGAGATATGGGGGGACGTGACTAGCGGGTGAAAAGTCTCCAGTCAACGAGTCATGGCTCACTACTCTCTTTATCCCACCCCCACCCTCACCCCCACCCTGATTAAAGGCTACCCCACCGGTCCAGCTGCGGTATCTGGTATGACCCACCCCTTGTATCGGCCTCGCTTTACCATACATGTGCCCGTGACTCGTCCGATCACCGTCGGTGTTCCCGGCGCTACGAGCAACTCCGATGAGACTGGCCCCTGCTCCCGCACCATGACCAGGCCCAGCATCGTAGCCGGAAGACTGAGACATGGGCGAAGGTGGGATCAAGAGCATCGAGGTGTGAGTTTCCGAGGAGTGGAGGAGACGACAGAAAATTTGTGTTGGCGTTGTCATCGCCACCTATCTCAGGGGTTTCCTTTGCCAGTGCTAGTGACAGTGCAAATGATAATTGTTTGCAGAGGATTATCAGAAGGACAGATATCGGCGCATGTGTTGCATCATATAAGGGGAAGGATAAAGTTTGAGATTACTGGTCCATACTATCAGGTAGCCCGCTCTGACTTGTCTTTGCTATGATCCCTTGTCAACTGCAATATATACACGCAACCCTTACCCTCATCTTCCTCCCGCCTCTCTTCCATCCACAACCAGCAAGAAGGAAGAAAGGCGGGGAGAAAACATCAGCATCCGTTCTGCAGAATGAGGAAAATGATCTTCACCTTCCATGGACAACCTGGAGGTTTGCCGAGAACCTTGCGAGCATGCAGCAAGCAAGTCAGCTTCAGAGACTGTTGCTCTGCCACGAAGTGTACCGCAGGAGAAGACATTGGATCCGAGCTCCATCTCCCTATTCTCTTCAAAATAAGTTTTCCCATGAGCACTTGAATGTCATAACAACTACCAACTGCCGTTTATTTCTGTCCTGGAGACACATGCTTGAAAAGCTTAGATGCGATCTTGATGGTGTCTTGAGCAACCATCGCAGCACATTGCACTGATTTTTCTTGTCGTCCGAACACTCTCCAAGCAGCTCCTGTACCCTGGAGCTGCGGCTCGGTTTACCGCAGTCACGTAGTAGACTCGTCAGTGTCGGACCTTCAAGCCTTGTCGGTGTTGGCCGCTAGAGCACGCACCGTGGCACTGGCATGCCAGTTGAGTTGGTCTCCTACTACCCACGCCCTGACTACCGTATGGCAAAGCGATGCCACCCTATGCCAGTTGCACAGCTCTAAGCCTGATGAAAGTTATCATGCGGCATGGCCACCCGTGACCAAGAGGCTCGGTTCAAGTCCAGCACTCAGTGACTGACTATCTGATCAGCACGGTAAGAAGCCTTACTATCAAGGCCCTCGGCGGTTCAACGTTTGAGCAGGAGCCGCGGCTCTTGCGGGTCGTTTCAAGGGCCAGCTTGTGTCACACTGTGACACAACTTAGGCAGTAAGATACTCAGTCAGAGGGTATCAAGTTTCTTTACCGTGATTGGTCCCGGGTCAGCCTCATGCCACGGCGGTGGCGGCTAAAAGCCGGGCCCGGCGGCACCGGGCCCGTTCCGGGAGTCGGATACGGCGTAGCCTTCGGAGTATCGTAGCTTAACCGTTACAGAAGATGTAGACATCGTTACAGGATCCTCTTCATATGATGTGGCCCCCCATGCGATCGGAGGGAAAGAAGAGGAGCGAGGCGAGGCGAGGCGAGGAGAGGAAAGGAGAGAGGAGGAGGAGGAGGAGTAGAGGAGAGACGAGACGAGGAGAGAGGCGAGGTAAGGCGAAGAGAGGATAGATGAGGAGAAGAGGAGAAGAGGAGAGAGGAGAGATGGGAAGCGGAGGAGGAGAAGAGGAAAAGAGGAAGAGGGGAGGGCAGGGGACAGCAGGTGAGGAGATGAGATAAGAGGAGAAGAGGAGAAGAGAAGGGAGAGATGAAAGCAATTGGAGGCCAGACAAGCAGCGGAAAGTAAGAGGCGTTGCGATCAGCAAACAGGATGAGTCATGTCGATCAGGGGAGAATCTGAACTAAGACCTGGCGAAGGGAGCATTGCTTGAGACGCGACGATAGCATGCTCCACGAGGAGGATGTAAAGAGTACGGGAGGCGATTGTTCCACTTGAGCAGTGATGTAGAATGCTGGAAGGTGCAGCAGGCTGTAGGAACCATAAAGAATTATCACCTCTTCTGCTTGCCTGACTCGTGGATGCGCAAGATGCCTGAGGCGGCCGGAAAGCGAAAAGCTGAAAACGAAGTGAACGGGGAGCAGCCGAGCAAGAAGGGATCTGCCTTCAACGAGTTCACTGGCGTGTTTGATGGGTCAGCCATGGCATCTCCCTGTCCTCCAACCGGCTGAGGCCCATGGCAGGTTGGTGCAAGACATCCTTGGCTTGCTGCCCAAGGAGCTTCCGGACGAGTCCCTTGCCTACATCAAGAAGATGTGTCACTACACCTGCTACGGTGAGAAAGGAGAGCTGGAGGAGAGCTGGAGGGGATGATGGGACCGCAGGCGGCAAGATGACGCGAGGGATTACGGTGGGAGCGACGTACGCGGACGTGGCGAGGAGCAGAGGAGAAGAGCCTTCGGAGCAGGCCATGTTTGTTGCCAAGGTGAAGCGTATGAGATGGTTGTAGGCTGCTTGTAGTATATGAGATGACTGTAGACTTCTTGTTTCTGTGCTTCTGTTGTAACTTTTGCTTTTCAGGTTATCGGCTGGTGTATCGAGTGGCTTCAAGCTTGCTTCTTGGTTGGGACAATGACCCCCCCTTCTCCCTCCCCCCTCCCCCCCCCCTCCTCACCTCTCCGATCTCCTCCAATCTTTCCTCTTCTCTAATCCCCATCAATTCTCTCCTCCTCCTCCTCCTCCTCCTCCTCGTCTATCTCTTCTCTCTTCCCCCCCTGCTCCCCTCTCTCCCTCCTCTCCCTTCTCTCCCCACTCGTTGCATGACTCACCCACCCGAAGGTTCTCGATGACATCATGGATGAGTCGCACACGCGCAGAGGTCAACCATGCTGGTCAGTCTGAGTCCTCCAAGTCGCCACGTGCTGCTTCCTTGTCGCTTCGTGCAACCTTGTCGTTCGCGTCCCCGACATGTTCCACAAGATGCACGTTGAGCTGACAAGAAGATGTTTGTGATGTGATCGCTCCTCGACCCTCAGTACATGAACATGTCTGGCAAGGCTGATCTGCATGTTCAGGTACAAGCTCCCGGAGGTTAAGAAGATGGCCATCAACGACGGCCTGGTAGGATTCGTCTTTGATGTGATGTGATGTGATGTGATGTGATGTGATGTGATGTGATGTGATGTGATGTGATGTGATGTGATGTGATGTGATGTGATGTGATGTGATGTGACTGGGACGAAGATCCTGGAGTCCTGCATCTTCCTCCTCCTCAAGAAGCACGTCAAACCCTACAACGTTGAGCTGTACCACAACTGCGTCGAACTTTTCCACGAGGTGAACCAGCCATCCCATTCCTGCTCCTTCCCATACCCCCTTCTCTTCTTCCTCCCCCTCCCCCTCCCACAAATCCCTTCCTTCGTCCTTGCCATTCCCGTTGGCTTTCTGCTTGTTTGCTCTCCTTTCACACTCTCGTCTGCTCCTCGTCGTCCTCGTCCTCGTCCTCGTCCTCCTCGTCCTCGTCCTCCTCTCCCTCCCCCTCCCACAAATCCCTTCTTTCGTTCTTGCCATTCCCGTTGGCTTTCTGCTTGTTTGCTCTACTTTCACACTCTCGTCTCCTCCTCGTCCTCGTCCTCGTCGTCCTCGTCGTCCTCGTCCTCGTCCTCGCCCTCGTCCTCGTCCTCGTCCTCGCCCTCGCCCTCGTCCTTGTCCTCCTCCTCACTTCTGCCCAGGTTTCCTTCCAGACGGAGCTTGGCCAGCTGCTCGACATGACGACGGAGTCTCCTGGTGCCCGCAGCTGCTCCTGAACCCTCTCCTCCTCACCTCCACCCCCTGCAGAAGGCAAGTTGGACTTCTCCCGTTTCACCCTTGAGGTCTGCAAGAGGCCGCAAACAACGGGAGGTGACGAGCTTGTAGAGGTACAAGCTCATCGTCAAGTACAAGACCGCCTTCTACTCCTTCTACCTGCCCGTTGCTGCTGGGCTTTACCTGGCCGGTACTGCCCCCCCCCCCTCGCCCCTTTCCATCCTCCCTATCCCTCATTGCACTTCAATTTTCTCTCCCTTCCTGTCCTGCCTGCCTGCCTGCCTGCCTGCCTGCCTGCCTGCCTGCATCTTCTCTTCTCAACCTGCACGCAGGGTTGACGGGAGAGAAGGACCTGGAGCTGACCAAGGAGATCACCATCGCTATGGGCGAGTACTTCCAGGTACCCCTCCCCCCCTCCCTCCCTCCCTTCCTCCCTCTCCTCGTTTTTCCCGCCTATCAACCCTTTTCTCGTTCCCTCCCTTGACTCGCCAATGCTGCAGATCCAGGATGACTTCTTGGACTGTTATGGCGATCCGGAGACCATCGGAAAGGTCCGCTCTGACTTACTCCCTCTTCCTCCTCCTTCCCCCACTCTTTCTCTTGCTCTTCCTCTTTTCCTCTTCTTCTTCCTCCTCCCCTTCCCTCTCCTCGTTTCCCTCCCTTCTCCCTCTCGTCGTTTCTCCCTTGGATCTATCAACCCTTTCCTCCTTCCCTCCTTTCTCCTATTGTCCTCCTCGTCGTCATCTCTTGTCCTCCCCTTCTTCACCTGCTCTTCCAAACACACCCGACTTCCTCCTTTCCCTTTCTTCTTGCGCAGGCAGGTACTGACTTCTGGTCTTCATGTCAGATCGGCACAGACATCCAGGACAAGAAGTGCGGCTGGTTGTGCGTGCAGGCTTTGATGAAGTGCAACGAAGAGCAGGTGAGGAGGACGAGGAGGACGAGGACGAGGACGAGGACGAGGACGAGGAGGAGAGGAC